CCCCTCCCAGTTCCCTCCCAGTTCCATCCCAGTTTCCTCCCAGTCCCTCCCAGTCCATCCCAGTTCCATCCCAGTCCCTCCCAGTCCATCCCAGTTCATCCCAGTCCATCCCAGTTCCTTCCCAGTTCATCCCAGTCCATCCCAGTCCCTCCCAGTTCTCACCGCGGCTCCCGCGCTGCCGCCGCCGCTTCCTGACTCCTGACGTCACTTCCGCCCCCGCCTCCTAACGTCATTTCCTCCCATCCGCGGGGAGCCCGGAGCACCCGGGAGGAGCAGATATCGCGAGAGTTCGGGGTGTGGGAGGGAACTGGGACAAACTGGGACAAACTGGGAGCACTGGGAAGGGCGCTGGTTGTTACTGGGGTGAACTGGGAGCGCTCCGCTTGCCACTTCCGCATAAGGCCCCGCCCCCTTGGCTGCAGCCAATCAGCGCCGCACGTTCTCTCCCGTATCTGACCAATCAGCGCCGCCCGTTCGCTCCCCACACTGACCAATCAGCGACTCCCGTTCGCTCCCATCTCTGACCAATCAGCGTCTCCCGTTCTCTCCCGTATCTGACCAATCAGCGCCGCCCGTTCGCTCCCCACACTGACCAATCAGCGCCCGCATAGCCCCCGCCCCCCCATGACGTCATTCAGGACATTTCGCGCCTATTCCGGGGGGGATTTGGGGGAATTTTCGGGAATTTTGGGTCATTCCGGGCGGGATTTGGGAATTCTGGCGGGAACCGCGGGAATTTTGGGGTTTCCGGTTCATTCTGAGGGGTCCGGGGGGAATTCCGCGGGTTTTGGGGTCCCGGGCTTGGAATTTTGGGGGAATTTGGAGATCCTGGAGTTGGAATTTTGGGAATTTCGGGAATTTTGGGAATTTGGGGCATCCCAGGCTGGAATTTGGAAATCCTGAGGGGGATTTGGGAATTTCCAGGGTTGGAATTCTGCTGGAATTTGGGGATTTTGATGATTTCGGGGGAAATTTTGGGGAATTTTTTGGGAATTCTTTGCAAAATTTTGGGGGAATTTTTGGGGAGTTTTTGGGAATTTTGGGGAATTTTTTGGGGAATTTTTTGAGGAAGTTTTTGGGAATTTTTTGGGAATTTTTTGTGACTTTTTGGGGAATTTTTTGAGGAATTTTTTGGGAGCTTTTTGAGACTTTTTTGGGATTTTGGGGGGGAATTTTTGGGAATTTTGGGGGAATTTTTTGGGAATTTTTTTGGAATTTTTTGTGAATTTTGGGGGAAGTTTTTGGGAATTTTTGGGGAAGTTTTTTGGGAAGTTTTTTGGAAAGTTTTTGGGAATTTTGGGGAATGTTTTGAGGAATTTTTGGGGGAATTTTTTGGGGAATTTTCCAGGAATTTTGGGGGAATTTTTGAGGAATTTTTTGGAATTTTTTTGGGAATTTTATGAGGAATAATTTTGGGAATTTTTTGTGAATTTTGGGGGAAGTTTTTGGGAATTTGTTGGGAATTTTTGGGGAAGTTTTTGGGGAGTTTTTGGGAATTTGGGGGAGATTTTTTTGGGAATTTTTTCAGGAATTTTTTGGGAACTTTTTGGGATTTTGGGGGAATTTTTTGGGGAATTTTGGGGGAAGTTTTTGGGAAGTTTTTTTGGAAGTTTTTGGGAATTTTGGGGAATGTTTTGAGGAATTTTTTGGGGAATTTTGGGGGAATTTTTGGGGAATTTTTTGGGAATTTTTTTGGAATTTTTGGGGAATTTTTTGGGAATTTTTTGGATTTTTGGGGGAATTTTTGGGGAATTTTTTGGGGAATTTTGGGGAATTTTTTGGGAATTTTGGGGAATTTTGGGGGGAATTTTTTGGGGAATTTTTTGGGAATTTTGGGGAATATTTTTGGGAATTTTCCAGGAATTCCAACACTCCCAGCGACCGCACCAAACTCTTCTTTATTAATCCAAATTTTCCGAGTTCCCCACGATTTTTTTTAGGAATTCCCAACTTTTTGGGGTGCGGGGCCATCCCTAAAACATTTTTTTGGGGGGGGTGGGGGAGGGGTCGTTTCCCTTTTTTTTTTTTTGGGAATTCCCCCTCATTTTTCCCTGATTTTTTGGGCCCTCCCAAATTTTTTCCAGCTCATCCCCAACTTTTTGAGACCCCAAATTTCGTTTTTGGGGCGTTCCCGTTCGTTTTGGGGCGTTCTCGGCTCTCAAAGTGCATTTTTTGGGGTGAAATCCCCGATTTTTGGGGTCGTTCCCCGGGGATTTGGGGATTTCCCCATTTCCAAAGTGCATTTTTGGGGGTCACCCCCGATTTTTGGGGGGTCCCGAGTGCTTCCGGTGAGTGGGGGAGGGGTCAAGGGGGGGTGGGGACCCCAAATTTGGGGTTTTTTGGGGATTTTTGGGAGATTTTTGGGGTTTTTTTGGCTCCGTGCAGGGGGGAGGGGGGGGATCCCCCAAATTTCCCCTCCCCCATTTTATTGGGGGGAGGGGTTTCATGCACTGGGGGCGGGGCTTAACCCCAGAGGGGGCGGGGCTTAACCCCAAACGGGGCGGGGCTTCATTCCGAGGGGGGCGGGGCTACGCCGAGGCCGCTGGGGCTGCAAGAAAAGGGAGGATTTAGGGAAAATTCCCAAGATTTTGGGAAAATCCTGAATTTCCCGGCGAAAAATTCGGGATTTTGGGGGAATTCCCGAGCGAATCCCGAATTTTTCCGGAGTTTTTCCCAAAAAAAATGGAAATTTTTCTCTTAGGAAAACAAATTTATCCCAAATTGCCCCCAAATCCCTCCCTAAACCCCAAAATCCCGCCCTAAATCCCAAATTTTCCCCAAATTTCACCCAAAATCCCCAAAATTCCCCCCCAAATCCATCCCTAAATCCCAAATTTCCCCAAATTCCCCCCAAAATCCCAAATTTACCCAAAATTCCCCCTAAAATCCCTCCCAAAATCCCAAATTCCCCCCAAAATCCCTCCCAAAATCCCAAATTTCCCCAAAATTTCCCCCAAAATCTCTCCCTAAATCCCAAATTTTCCCAAATTCCCCCCAAATTCCCTCCCTAAATCCCAAATTTTCCCCAATTCCCCCCTAAATCCCAAATTTCCCCCAAAATTCCTCCTTAAATCCCAGATTCCCCCCCAAAATCCCCCCAAAATCCCAAATTTACCCAAAATTCCCCCCAAATCCCTCCCAAAATCCCAAATTTTGCCCAAAATCCTGCTAAAATCCCTCCCTAAATCCCAATTTCCCCCCAAAATCCCTCCCTAAATCCCATATTTACCCAAAATCCTGCTAAAATCCCTCCCTAAATCCCAAATTTCCCCCCAAATCCCTCCCTAAACCCCAAATTTTCCCCAAATTCCCCCCAAAATCCTGCCCTGAATCCCAGATTTTTCCAAATTTCCCCAAAAATCCCTCCCAAAATTCCAAATTTTCCCCAAAATCCCGCCAAAAACCTTCCCTAAATCCCAAATTTTCCCAAAATTCCCCCCTAAATCCCTCCCTAAACCCCAAATCTCCACAAATTCCCCCAAATTTCCCCAAATCCCCTCCGAATTTCAAATTTCCGCCCAAAATTCCCAAACCCCTTCACGAAACCACCCCAAAAATTCCCCGAATTCCCCCAAATCTCCCAAATTCCAAATTTTCCCCATTTTCCTGAATTATTTCTCCCAATTTTTTCCCAATTTTCCCCAATTATTTTTCCCAATAATTTTCCCGGTTTTTCACAATTTTCCCCAATTTTTCCCCCAACTTTTCCCCATAACTTTTCCCAAAAATCCCCAATTATTTTTCCCCATTTTTCCCATTTTTTCCCCATTTTTCCCTTTTTTTCCCAATTTTTCCCCATTTTTCCCCAATTTTTCCCCATTTTTCCCCAATTTTTCCCCATTTTTCCCATTTTTTCCCCCATTTTCCCCAATTTTTTCCCCATTTTTCCCCATTTTTTCCCGTTTTTTCCCCATTTTTCCCCATTTTTCCCGTTTTTTCCCATTTTTCCCATTTTCCCGCTCTCACCGGCGCTTTTCGCCGTTTCCGGGGCGCTGCTGGAAAAGGGGGAGGGGCTCAGAGAGATTTTTTGGGAATTCCCAAATTTCGGGGGCTTCTGAGGCTCCCAAATTTGGGATTTTTTGGGGAATTTGGGGGAATTTTTTGGAATTTTGGGGGGAATTTTTGGGAATTTGGGGATTTTTTTGGGAATTTTTTGGGAATTGTTGGGGAATTTTTTGGGAATTTTTTTTGATTTTTGGGAAATTTTTTGGGAATTTTGGAGAGATTTTGGGGGAATTTTGGGGAAATTTTGGGAATTTTTGGGGAATTTTTTGGGAATTTTGGGGATTTTTTGGGAATTTTTGGGGATTTTTGGGGGAATTTTTTGGGAATTTTGGGGAATTTTTTGGGAATTTTTGGGATTTTGGGGAATTTTTTGGGGAATTTTTTGGGAATTTTTTGGGATTTTTGGGGGAATTTTTGGGGAATTTTGGGGAATTTTTTGGGAATTTTTGGGGTTTTTTTTGGAATTTTGGGGTAATTTTTGGGAATTTTTGGAATTTTGGGAGATTTTTTTTGAATTTTGGG